TGGTGTATATGCCCATACAGGTAAAAAAAGAAAGAAAGAAAGGAAGGAAGAAAGGAAGGAAGGAAGGAAGGAAGGAAAGAAGGAAGGAAGAAAGAAAAGAAAGAAACCAAAAGCCTAATAAATCCCAATTTAGGAATCAAAGGTAGCCGATGATAGAGGCTATATTCCAGTCGTGCATTAGCGGATGTACCGTTGTCAGTTTGGGGGTGGGGCATGAGTGAGTGAGGAGATAGCTTCGTCATGGGGAGAGGAGGGAATTTCAGGAAGAATACAGTGGGCAGTAAGGACCAAGACACAGTGGACGGAGCAATCAAGGAGGGGTGTGAAGAAATAAAAATGCAGGGTATCCAACATGCACAACTCATCCAGAGCGTGGGGAGCAGTGCCGACAGAAAGGAGATGTGACCAAGGCGGGGTACAGTTTCTGAAGATTTGGGGTATAGGGGAAGAATTTGGGCTAGTTCTGTAGGTGGTGGGGAAGTTGGAGGGATGAATCAGCAGTTAAGAGGACTTGCTGATCTTTGTAGAGGACCTGAGTTTGGTTTCTAGCACCCACATTGGGCAGTTTGCAAACCACCTGTGATTCCAGCTCCAAGGGATCTGATGCCTTCCACAGGCACATGTGCATACACATACAAACACTCATAAATAAAACTAAACAATCTCTTTGGAAACGGTAGGGAAGTGGATGGGAGTAGATGCTGCAAATGTCAGGAAGCAGAGCTTGAAAGCCAAGAGCTCCAGGGAGTGCCGTCTAAGGAGGCTATGTCTGAAGGTTCTAGGTTGGCAGCAGCGAAGACATGAGGGGCAATTCAATGATGGACGGAGGAGAATGAAGACCGTGGATCTGGTTGGTACGCGTTTTGTGTAAGACACAGAGAGCTCTAGGATTGCAGGAAGTGTGTGTGTGTGTGTGTGTGTGTGTGTGTGTGTGTGTGTGTTGGGGGGGTTGTTCAGGAGGAAGTTGGGGATTTTAACACTACCCAGTGTGGCTCTGTCATATGTCGCCATGGTGGCCTCTCCATTTCTCTAAGGGTGATTCATCCATGCCTTTTGTTTTTATTGCATCTAATCCCGGAGGGAGGTAATGGGCTCACGTGAATCACACACAGATCTAACTTTCTGAAACCGGGTATAATAACTTGTAGATATTAGACCATGACTCATTTCCTTCTGTTATCTCATTAGCTCCTTGCATAGACTTTGCCCGAGCTACGTCTATCTTTGTTAGACTTTAGATGACTTTTAAACTTGAACTGTGACCTGTACTGTTGTTATAGGTTGGGAGAAGCAGCACACACACACACTTGCACACACTCATGCATGCGCACTCTCTCTCACACACACACACACACTCGTACACATACACTTGTGCACGCACTTGTACACACAATGCACACACGCACCTACACATACACACGCACACACACTTACACACACACACACACACACGCACACACACGCATGCGCGGATTGCACTCAAAACTGAGGAACTGATTGTGGATGCTTTCTCTACCGCTTTATTAAGCTCAGCTGTGTCTGTGTTCCCCAGATTCTTCTTTCCCCTGTTAAATGGATTTTGATGCATTCTAAAACCTCCAGTATCTAAGCAGGGGTTACTCACACCAAAAAGGGAATTTTTATACAATAATTTTTCATTAATTAAAAATCACCTTTGTGGACTCGAGAGATGGCTAAGTGGTTAGACATTCTTCTTGCTCTTCCAGAAGATCCGAGTTTGCCTCCCAGCACCCGAGTCAGGCAAGTCACAAGTGCCCATTACTCCAATTCCAGGGAACCTGATGCCGTCTTCTGGCCTCCATCAGCATTTTGTGTGTGCGCACACACACACACACACGCACATACAAACAAATGCAAATAAAAATATTTATTTATTTACTTACTTATTTATTTACTTTTGTGAACTTATTTTGAAGAGTAAGATGGAGTCAGTCTCCAAACTTTGGGTGGAATGGCAAACATTCAGTCTAACGTGAGAGCTCTGACAATGATCGAATGCACGGAAAGCCCAGTGTGTAACATGTGAGGCCATGCACCTTCACTGTGGCTACAGCCTCCTGGAAGGTTGCATGCATGTCTAGGTCCACATGTGGAACTGCACCTGCTCATCAGGTCAGATGGGAATGCTGGAGGCAGGGGCATGTCTTTCTCTTCCGCTCCATTCACAAATGAGATCAAACCCCCATTCCACAGGGTCCTCTAGTTCCCACAGAACACAGTTTCTACATGAGTGGAAGGCGTGAGAACGCCATCAGCTGCTCCTTGGGTGTCTGACAGTTACCGTGCCAAGTTCCACAGAAGGATGTTTAATTCACACCTAGGAATGCTGAGAGAAAGCGGTGTCATTCTCTCCCTTATGCCAAAGAAAAACATCCGCTGTCAGCTGAGGGCCTTTCTGGCCAGTGTGGTTTGTGAGGTGCGTTTTAATGTCCCCAAAACGCTTGCCACTGACTCGTCTCTGACAAGCTCTTTTCACTTGAGATGGGCTTTGCCCATGGGGGTGAGAGGCTGTCTCTTTCTAAAAAGGAAAATGGCTTTGCAATTTTGTTTTAAAATTGTATTTTCCTAATACACTATCTTGGAAGTCATTCCTCCTTAGACTAAACAATACAGAAGAATATGAAAGAGAAAGTTATGATTAGAGAAAAATCTTATCATGTGGAAACACCACCGTCAAAATACCCTTCTAGACTTTTTAGGACCTGGACACAAAATACCAATAAATGAATAAATAAATAAATCAGGGAGCATAGTTATTTGTTTTGTTTGCTTTCTTGTTTGGTTTTGTGGGGTTTGCCGTTGTCTGAGATGGGGTCTCTGTAGCCTGGAGTATGCTGGAACCCACTGTGTTCACCAGGTTGGACTTAAGCTCATGGCTGTCTTCCTGCCTCAGCTTCCCAAGTGCTGAGATTACAGACACGAACCAGTCCAGGCTCATAACTGGCTTTTGTAACACCCTATTTTATTCTGAATTCTAGATGAGATCTCCCATTATCAATGAAGATAGAACTACTGCCTCATTTTTATCAACTATATAGCTTTTTATAGGCCTTTAGTTGTATTTATTGTTTGAAATAGTTGCTTGAATATTCATTTAAAAACCTCTTTGTTGCGTTTGGAGTATATATGGAGTAAATATAAAAGAACAATTTAAACTGTTTAAAATATAAAGAATTAACATAAGATGTTGCCATTCTTTTGCTTTGAAAAACATTGTGTGAGTGTGTGTCTGTGGTATGTGCATGTGTGCACAAGTGTGTATGGTGTATTCATGTGCACACAAGTGTTGTTCACTTGTGTGGAGGTCAGGGGTCAACATCAAGATGCCTTCCTCAATCACTATCCACCTTTTTGAGCTTACCATTTTGGTTAGACTGGCTAGGTGACGAGTCCCTGAGATCTGCCTATCTCTACCCGCCATCCCCCAACACCGGGGCTACAGATACAGAACCGTGCCAGGCTTCTGCTTTGAGTACTGAGGATCAAACTCAGGGCCTCGAGCTTGCCCAGTGGACACTGTGCCCACTGAACCATCTTCCCAGTGCAGGCCCAGATCTGCCATTTTTATACCACTGTTTCTTCCTGTTTCTATTTTTCCTCCTTTATGACCCTTTGCCGAGTCTCTTCCTTCTCTCTTCAAATTTTGAAATCTTACATTTATTTTACATGCTCACAACTGCTTGTAAGTCCAGCTCCAGGGGCTCCAACACTCCCTGGCCTCTGTGAACACCACACTCACACATGCATATATACACAGACACACAGACATACACACATAGATATAAATAAGTAGACAAAGGTTTAAGGACCGCTAACCCAAACCACACTCCCCCTGACATTCCAGTATTTTAGTTTTTTTTAATTTAGACTTACAGCTACTGTTTTAGCCCACAATGCCTGTCTGCGTTCTCCCAGGCATCGGCCCGCTCATTTCTACATTTCAGAACTTGCATGGGAATCACCTTCCTCCTCTCTGAAGTGTGTCCTTTAGAATCTGCTCAAGTGGCAGCCTGACGATGGCTCACTCCTCTGTGCTTCTCCGGAGATATGTTATTGTTGTCCTCCTTGGTTTTGGGGGGGAATCCTTTTAACAAAGTATAATCTGCCCTTTTAAGTTCCCTAGGTTTAAATGGAGAAGAAAAGCAGAGTAATTACAGAATTGTGTAACCATCCCTGCAGTCAAATTCTAGAGTATCTCTCTCTCTCTCCTTTGGAAAGAGACCATGCACCTATTTGTAGTAAGACTCCACTCCTACCTCCGTTCCCACACAACCTATAATCTGGTTCCTTGTCCCCTCCCCTTGACATTTCCTATGCATTTACCCAGCGTTTTCTGTGGGTGCTGGAGATCTGAACTCCAGTCCTCACGGTTGCACCGTAAGCGCTTTACCAACTGAGTCATCTCTCCGGGCCCGACTGAGTAAACCTTCAAGAGGAGTGCTGCATTTGAGTAGGAGGGACAGATGGACAGCAGTAGATCACCATGACAACCAGATACCGCAAACCAAACAGACCAGACCAGACCAGAGAGATTTGAGTAGCACATAGTCAGACGGGGGAAGAAAGATAGTTCCGTTTGATGTAATGGATTGCCGTAGTCTGATAGACGCTTGTGCCCAGTTCTTGAGCTGGGGAGGATAGACAGCAAGCATGCTTGTATCCAGCCCGAGCTGTTGGTGTAAGCAAGTGACAGTCAAGTCTTTGGGTCACCAAAGACAGTTAAGAAATCTCATTATCTGGAGCTGAAGCACCATTGCTGCGATGTTCTTGACATCCCATTAGAAACCAAGGAAATATAAGTGTCCTGCTCCTCTAGGTTGACGGTGAAGTTTCTTGTCTTTCCTTCTTTCTCCTTTTCTTTTCTTTTTCTTACAGCTGGCTTTGTCCTAGGAGATCCCGTCCCTACGTGTTAGGCTGGGTGATTATCTCCGAGGCTGCGCCTGCCTTTCTTATTCTGAGCAGCCACTCTTTCCATCCAGGTATCAGAGTAACACAGCCTCTGCCGTCCTGGAAACCATCACCAACATTCAACCCAAGGAGAGCGGTGGCGGCGTGGGCGAGACGCGTGAGGCCATTGTCTACAGGCTGTCAGAGGACATGCTGAGCAAGCTGCCGCCTGACTATGTGCCTCATGAGGTAAGGCATGCCCTTCCTGCGGGGCAAGATCTGGAAGGTGGAGGAGGGCGTTCCTCCCCCCTCCCCCCACCCCCCGTACATCGCATACCGTTCATGTGGAGGCAGAGGACACCTCACAGGAGTTGGCTCTCTCCTCCCATCACGGAGTCCTAGGGATCAAACTCAGGTGGCTAGCTTTGGCTGCAAGCATCTTTAAACCCTTCTTTTATGTTATAGGAGCATGTTATTGAAAATACAGCAGTCAAGCAAAATCTGTAAATTGAGACCTAATTATGTCATTAGCCTCCACAATACAAATGGAGTCCCATTACTGTAGACAACAGCTCCCAGAAAGCACTGGGGGAATCATGCAAGAGCCCACAACAAGTCTTTGATTTTATTAATAAACAGTTTATGCTGGAATCATAATCATGCAGGCAATACAGTCAGCGTTAAGATTATACTCTTTTCTAGGGTGCTCCCCTTCTGTTACAATTATTATTTTTTTAATTATGAAGAAATTGTTCATGCTATGTTGCCTGGGCCAGCCTAGAATTCTTGGACTCAAATGGTCCTCCTGCCTTTGCCTCCCGAGTAGCTGGGACAACAGGTGCAGTTTATGCATAACAAGGTTCTCTACTAAAGCCTGCATTGGGAGCTGGAGAGGTGACTCACAGTTCGGAGGACTTGCTGTCCTTTCAGAGGGCCTGGGTTCAGTTCTCAGCACCTATATCAGGTAGTTCATAGTGTGCCATAACTCCAGTCTCAGGGGATCATGTTCCCTCTTCTGGCCTCTACAGGCACTTGCATGTACATGGTACACATACATACATGCATATAACAGCATGTTTGTCATATCCCTCTTGTGGTCTTTTTGTGATTTCTTGTTCCCCAAAGAGTGAATTGCTGCAGGGTAGTCATAAACAAAGGATGCTGTGTGCGCGTCCAGTCCCCTAGGCCAAGGAGTTCAGGACAGAGACAGAGCAGACCCTGTAGACTGAAACACAACAGGGATGTGGCTCAGCTGGTAGAGTGCTTGCCTAGCTGGGCAAGGCCCTGAGTTTTTTCCCAGCACTACCTGAACAGGGTGTGCTGGGGCACACTTGTAATCCTAGCACTCTGGAGGTAACGGCGGGGGCATCAGAAGTTCCACACCATCCTTAGCTCTATAGCAGTTTTGATGCCAGCCTGAGAACGATTTCTAAATAAATAAATTGAATCGAAGGTTTTTTTAAATACTAAAATTTAGAGGTGGGAGAGATGGCTCATCAGTTATGAACACTGGGCCTGGGCTCTACTCCCTGTACCCATGAAAGGCAACTCAAAACCATTTGTAACTTTAGTCCCAGGCTATCTTCTGACTGCGAAGGCACCCACCCACATAACACACACGCACACACGTGCACACCCCCCCATGCATACATACACGCACTCACACCCCACACACATGCACACAATGCACACACACATGCCCATGCACCCACCCACCCACTCATACACATGCACACAAATACACATACACGCACACACACGTGTGTGCACACATACATAACACACACACACTTTTTTAAAAACTGTAAATGTTGGCATTAGAGACGCCTGAAGTTAGTGTGTGGGGCTGGACTGTGGTTTCGCTGGCCGGCTGGACTGTGTGGTATGGGAGTGATTTGCTCTGCTCTGCTCATGTTGCTGTTCTCTGCTTTCCTTCTTAATTCACTGGGAATGACACAGCTGCTGTACAGCGGAGATGCTGGCTGCTGGAACAACCTGCTCAACATCCCACGTCTCAGGAAGGGCTGTGGGCATCTCTGGCAAGAGGGTCCCTCAGCCGCCAGCCTCCGGGGGTTCTTTGGACTTATCCTTCAGTCAAATCTTCTCCTTTCTGTCTTCATCACCCTTCCATTCCCAGAACCTCTTGGACTGTGGCCATCGGAAGGTGCAGGTCCTCTCACGAGCTCCTGCTGGTATCTGTAGTCAATCTCTTCTTGACTTGTATGGCTGAACAGAAATGTGAATGTATATTGGATTATTAATTAATTAATCATTATATTTTATTGTCCCCACAATGAGAGACTTTGGTATTGATCTCTTTGACGTGGTCACTAAATGATATGCCAACAGGAACAAGTGACAGGTCGCTCAGTGGCTCTCCCACGAAGTCAAATATTTTCACTGATTAGATTAGGGAAAGCCATTTTTAGCCTCCACAGCCGAGGCAGCCATGATCTGCGGTTAATTGTATTCAGTGACTGTTCTGTAAAGATTTGGGCTGTATTAACTTTTTGTGACATTTCTAATAACAACTCTGTAAGGTAATGGAAACAAAAAGTCCTGCTGTACTCTTGTGAAGGTTAGATTACCAGAGAATATTTAGCTGACACTTAATACTTAATCATTCGGAAGAGGAAATAGACACAATTTTATTTTAACTTTTTAAAGAACAGTTCCAATTATCAACTAAGTACAATCAGTAGGATATAAAAATCATTTAAGTTGAACAGAAGTTTTTGAAGCTCAGAAAATGGGGGATTTAACAGCCAGCTTGGTTCTGCAAGAGGTGATTTCTAGTTCATTGGGTCTAGTGGAGAAACATCCAGAGACGGAGAAGAAATGGGGAACGGGACAGGTCATTTGGAAGGGAAATGATGAATGGTTCTTCTCAAAAAAAATTGTCTTTCCTACTCTGTTTTAGGTGAAAGCTCGTTTGATAAAGATGGGACACCTTAATTCAATGAACATATTTCTTAGACAAGAGATTGACAGAATGCAGAAAGTCATCTCGATCCTCCGGAGTAGCCTGAGTGATCTGAAGCTGGCGATTGAAGGGACGATCATCATGAGTGAGGTGGGCATCTCCCTCTTTTCGCTACTTGCTTTATTTTTTGTTTGTTAAAGGCAGAGGGCAACCTTAAATGTTCCTCACTCTTCATTCATTCATTCATTCATTCATTCGTTTATTTATTGAGACAGGATATCTCTGTGTAGCCCTGGCTGTCCTAGAACTAGCCCTGTAGACCGGGTTGGCCCCGAACTCACAGAGACAGACACCTTTATTTGTGAGGCAGAGTCTCTCATGGGACCCGTGTCTCACCCAATAGGCTAGGGTAACTGACCCGTGACCCCTAGCGTCCCTCTTGTCTCTGCCTCCCCTATACTGGGGTTGTAGTGTGCGCTCCCACACCCAGATATCTTTATGTGGCTTCTGAGAATCTCAGGACTTCATGCTTGCAAGGTAATCAGTGTACCAACTGAGCTATCTTCCCAGCTCCCCAGCAATGTTTTCCATTCATATATTTCTAGAACCCTTATTTTTAAATACGTTTTCATTTTTATATGCATGAGTGTGTCTCCTGAGTGTATGTGTATGCACTATCGATGCATAGTACCCACTGAGACTAGAAGAGAGCACCAGATCCCTCGGAACTGGAGTTACAGTTGTGAGCCACCACGTGGGTGCTGGGAACCGAACCCAGGTCCTCCACAACACAGCGAGTGCTTTTAGCTGCTGAGCTGTCTCTCCAGCCCACAAAACCACTATTTTTTAAAAATATCTTGTTGTCCATTTTAATCATGTGTGTGTCTGTGTGTTTGTGTGTAGTATGTACTCATGAGTGCAGGTACCTGTGGACGCCAGAAGGGGGCATATGACCCTCTGAATCTGGAATTATAGTCATGAGTCACTTGACATGGATGTTGGGAACCAAACTTAGGTTCTCTGCAAGAGCAGTATGTGATCTTAGCTTCTGAGCCACCCTCCAGCTCCCTTGGTCACACGTCTTACCCTTGTCTTCTTCAGAACTTGAGAGACGCCCTGGACAACATGTATGATGCTCGCATTCCTCAGCTCTGGAAGAGAGTGTCCTGGGATTCCTCCACCCTAGGCTTCTGGTTTACTGAGCTTCTGGAGAGGAACGCACAGTTTTCAACGTGGATATTTGAAGGCAGGCCTAACGTGTTCTGGATGACTGGTTTCTTTAACCCCCAAGGTAGGTGCTCCCGAGGGAGTGGGTTGACTTAGGAGTTCATGTGTAGCTGGTTGGTGTCATTGCTTACTGAATGTATGCTCCATAAAGTCGTGTGGTCCTGCCGCTGGCAGGTGCTGGGGACAGTCTTTCGGAGGTCTGAGGACACTCAGAATCCCTTGATATCCTTCTTGTCACGTTGATCCCACCGTGCAGTGTCCAAGCCCTCCCTGCTTCCCTGTTCACCCATGTGAGTAAGCCATGGCCCGTGGAGAAAGGGGAAGAAACACTTCTCACAAACATTCGTTTTTAACTGTTGATGGGAAGGTCACGACAAGGCTAAGGAGATGGGCCCTCTGGGGATGTGCTTGCCGTATTAGGCATGAAGACCTGAGTTTGAGTCTAAGCACTTACATCAGTAAATCCAGCAAATCCAGGCCTGCTGGTGTTGGGAGGCTTCAGGCTGGAGGATACTAGGGGCCTGCTGGCCAGCCCGGCTAGTCGAATTGACAAGCTCTGGGTTCAGTGAGAGACTCCATCTGAGAAAATAAAGTGGAGCCATGACCCCACTGTGATGAGCACTGGCTGCTCTTGCAAAGGACTGAGGTTTGGCTCTCAGTACCCACACAGTGGTTCCCCATCACCTGTAACTCCAGGTCCAGGGACTCCAACCACCCTCCCCTGACCTCTGTATTTCACAGACACACATATGGTATACATATGCTCAGCAAAACAGGCATCTACATAAAACATAAACAAAGGCATCCTTAAAAAATTAAAAATAAGGTGGAGATAGAGAAAGATAGTGACCTTGACCTCTGACCTCCATTCATCTGTGCACACACTGTAACGTGTGCCCATATACGCAAGTAATAAGTAATAAATAAAATAAAGCCGAAGTATGAAGACACCAGAGATGTGCCAAAAATTGCTGATTTGGTTTAGAAAACTAGACTTGAAATATTGAGTGAGCGTTGGGTGGCGGCTGGGGTGTCTTCCTCCCCCTCCCCGAAGGCACTCTGCTGTTCCACCCTTCCATCTTAGAAACGTTCTCCAGGGAAGTTGCAGGCTGGATACCATGGAGCTTTTAAGGTCCCGAAAGCTTGGCACCCCAATAGTTTCTTCTGTCAGTGAGTTAAGAAGCATTTATTCTTACTGATTTGTGGGGAGCCACCATTGCTCACGGCAATATGGGTAAATCTCATCAAAGATAATGGTGAGTGAAGACAGCCCGATGAAAACTGCAACACCCTATAGGGACCCGTCTGCATGAAGGCCAAGGATGGGCAGAGTGGATGCGGGATTGAACTGGGGTCATGGGGCTTGCTTAGCAAGTGCTTTACTCACTGAGCAATCTTGCCAGCTCTGCCTTAACATTTTCTGAATTTATAGCCTGAACCATGCATGGCATTTTCTGCCTTCACAGTGGGTTACACATAGTAATAGATCCAACTGATGCCCTCTTCTGGCCTCCATAGGTACTGCACTCACGTGCACAGATACAAACACAACTAAAACTTAAAAAATATTTAAAGATTAATCTTATTTTACATGTGTATGCGATGGGTGGGCCCAAGTGCATGTATATGCACTATCTGTGTGCAGATGCCCATAGAGGACAGAAAAGAGCATTGGATTGCCAAAGCTGCAGTTGCAGGCAGTTGGGAGCCACTCAGTGTAGGTGCTGGTCACCAAACCTGGATCGTCTACAAGAGCAGCCAGTGCTTTTAACCACTGAGCAATCTCAGTAGTCCCTAAATTCTTTTTTGAAAAATTTGAATGTAGATGGGCATTTCAGTGCCACCCACCAATAAGACATTCTCTACTTCTGCATCCATGGGAGACTTTTGATGTTTTCTCTCATGACTGCTTCTTGGAGAGTCCACACTGAATTCAAGCTGGCACCCTACCCTTTACAGACACGCACAGCCTCACACACCCTCACCCTTATCTACGCTTGCTTTCTGCTTGGTGCTCAGAAGCCTGGGGGTCACCTCTTCCTGCATAGAAATCACATCCTCGCTTTCCTTTCCTCCTCTTGACACAAGGGACAAATTACTTTCCCGTTCCACATCAGTTGGCCACATCTGAAAAACAGAGAGCTTGGTGGCCCCTCCCCTCCTGATGTGTGTCCACAGGCAGTGTCCAAACAGATAAGGATTCTCTGGCATTAACAGCAGAGGCTCCAGCACGAACTCATCTCCCGAGTCTTGTGTCTTCTTCCCGGGTCACTGCGATAAAAATCCTCTCATTCTTTCAGTTCAAAACATTGACGTAAATGGCTTTAAAAACAGCACCCCTCACATTTAGGTAAAGCGTAGCGCTGCCTACAAAGAGGCTAAAGTTTCATCACAAACACAGGACGTCTGGGGGTGGCGAGAGAGCTCAGAAGGTAAAGGCACTTGCCGCCAAGGCTAGCGACCTGAATTAAAAGCCCAGGACCCACACAGTGTGGGCAGAGAATGAGCTGCGTGCAGTAAGTTGTCCTTGGTCCTCCACACGTGTGCTGCATCGTGCACTCCCACAATAAATACATGTAATGAATTAAATGAAATTTCTTCACATGTGAACATTTTTATCACCTTATTATACCCCTGGCATCGTAGACTGTGTGTAGGGTATTTCCCATCAGGCCCGTTCCCCTCAGACTTAGGTGACTTTGAAGTCCTTGCTACCGTAAGGATGGGTGACATCTTGCATTTGCCACCCCCACCCTGTGCCCCCACCCCCATGAACATCCCAGCCAGCACTGTTTGCAGCCAAACTCCCTTGTCTTGTGGCTGGCTCCATGTTTGTTTTGCTTTGTTTTGTTTGTGGTCTGGCCTGTTTGGAGCGGCTGAGTCATTCACCACACAGCCTCACCTGGTATTCTCAGGCCCGCTTCACTGTTACTTCTGTGGCAATGGATGAGCTCAGCCATGTGGACGATTAGACTGGATGATTAAGATGGTCAAGCTCGCTGCATCGGTGACCCTGTGGCTGTGTGTTTCAGTGGCAGGGCTTCTTCTGTGGGCGGGTGTGCTCTCTGCCAGACTCTGCAGACCCAGAGAGCCTTTCTCTTTCACTGGTTTTCCCTGGCGGGTTTGAGCACGTGGAATTCTCAAGCTCTTTAAGGCTGTGATCCTCAGAGCCCTCAAAGGAATTCTTTTGGGCCTTCTCGCCCACTGCCCCTTCCCCTCATACACTCTCAGGGCATCATGTATCAATGTTTTAAAGTCTGAGTCTGGTGTGTGTGTGTCCTCTATATATGGGGATGTGTCTAAACCAGTGGGGATGAATTATAAAGAGGCAGACTTCAGGCTAAGATATCGACTCCTTTGTGATATCTTCATATTAATAGCCACATTTTTGTCATTTGATGCTTGGATGACTCCTAGGTGTGCTAATGACAGAATGGTGGAGGCTGGCCATGCTCCCTGGGCCTCGCACCCCTGGATTAGATTGAACCCTGCAACAACAATCATTTTCTAAATGCTTAATTCAGTCTGGAGCTTGGTGCTATTAAGTCGCCTTTTTTTTTTTTTTTTTAATCTTGTGTCTCCTTAAGCCATACTGTTATGGCAGATATCAATACCAACTTATTCATTGACATGAATCAAGATTTTTCACTTAGAGGGGCTGTTGCCGAAGCAAAGAAATGGATCATTTTTGTCCTGTTATCTTAGCGCTCTCTCTCTCTCTCTCTCTCTCTCTCTCTCTCACCGTGTGGGGGTGGGGGTGGGGATGGGGGACGTGTGCACGCCTGTGCACATGTTTTTCAGAGCAATGCAATTACGAATGCTTCCTTTGAGACCAGCTCCATGGGTTGCTGTTTGTTAAGGTGGAAAGCTGGCCAAGGGTTAATAGACTTTGAGGACTGGAAAGGAACCAGGGAAAACTTCTCGTCTCATGTCAATTCTTCAGCTGGTTCCTCATGCCCCTGTGCCCAAATCTCAGAACTGCAGAGGGACCCACTGCACTCTGCAAAGCCTCTGCGTGGGTGACAGGTGGTTTCTGCCTGCCTTTGGACAAGAGGAGACTTTAGACGCTGGCCTTGGTCATAGTCACAACCACAACTCCTAAAATTCTAGTCTTACACATGGCTACCAACTGTCTAGTCCCTTGTGATTTGGCCAGCTATCAGGAACCACTAAAACCACTCTCAAAGGCCGCCTCCACCTAATGGCATTTCTGCTAACTTCATTCTCTTGACTGTAGCTAGGGTGTCAAATCTGGATTCTCTGTCTGTCTGTCTGTCTGTCTCTCATGTGTGTGTGCCACATGCATGTTGATGTCCACACAGGCCAGAAGGGGGCGTCTAATATCCCTCCTCAAAGTGGAGTTACAGGTTGTTATGAGCTGAAGGTTCCAGGAACTGAACTCCGGTCCTCTGGAAGAGCAGTAAGTGCTGTTAACTGCTGAACCATCTCTCCAATTCCGGGAACCTCTTTTAGACCTCGGGTTCCATCCATGCACTTCCTTGGTTCTCTTCCTGCCCCTCAGCCCTCTCTGTGACTCTGCCTTGGGGATTGGTCTCCTCATCTCACAGGTGTGGCCGTTCATATCTCCCTGTGAGTGACTCAGTGCCTACAGCCAGTGTTGGAAGTTCTGTTCTCTAGTGACCTCACCCATGACAGTCTGGTCACCTTTCCCCTAAGCCATCCTCATGAGGATTCTGCTGTCTCCGTCTGCATCATCCCCCAGAACACACAAACTTGGACCCTTCACCAAATAGCTTGGAAAGGGGGGAGCAGGAACACATGGGTCCCAGACGAGAGAGAGAAGGGAAGCTCATAAATAAGGACAGAGATCACCAGAGGTCACTCCGGATGGGCTCCAAATGGCTGGATGGATTTCTCAGCCAGATCACAGTTGAAATAGAAATCCCAGGGGTGCAGGTGGGAGCTCAAGGAGACAGATTTTTAAGATAAGTGAGTGAATTGAGGAAGTGGAGGGAGGAAGGAAGGAGAGAGAGACAGACAGACAGACAGACAGTCAGTCAGACAGACAGACAGAGAATTTATGTTAATGTGGTGGGCACGCAG